TACATGAGATTTGTATCTATCAAATACCTATTTCATACCATCATCTTCCAAAAAAGTAATTAAAACTTATAATTGAAATTTAAATTAAACTAGATTTATAAAATCGTATTACTTGATTTACATTTTACGGTGTTTCTGTCCCTTCACCGCAACCCTGGTTTATTGTTACTTTTGTTTATCAGTTAAAGGCGCCAGCTGCTCGCCTCTCAAATTATAGCGATACGTGTATGATTCGTCTGTTTTGTTTGAAGGAAACTGGCATTAGATTGTGCCATCATGCTATAGTAAAGGATTTTGAATAAGCTTGGAAAGAAGTTTGATAAAGTTGGCGCACATAATTAGAGACTTTATTTAGATAGATAAGGTAAGTTTAATGTAATGAAAATACGTTCTCTTGTATAATAATTATTTCTAAAACTACTTTTCAGCCGTCATAATCTTTTGATTTGAAAGTCTTGGAAGATGAAGTTATTATGTACTAGTTCTGTGTGAGGCGCAGATTATTTGTGAGTGATACATATATTGTATTTTGTACTATACATTGTTTGAACATATAAACAGACCCTCTGGGTATAAGAGAGCCATGGCCCTCTAGGTATTCAATGAATTAAATAAATAGAATGACAATATTTACAACACATTCTGTGAGATTTCAGCCATGAAGATGCTTTTCCAATAGATAGCCATCATTTGCATAAACAGACAATTATTGAAATATGTTGCTTTGTATAAACTTCAAATTTTATTCCTAATGTAAGCAAACAAACTGATAGTGGTGCTAATTGATTACAGGTGATCAACAGGCACAATGAGAATCAACTGCGAAGTACAAGTATCTAATCGCAAGCTTCCATCTCTCAATATGTCCAGCAAGAAAAATACGGCACGTTCTTCTTTGGGAATTGGACGCTTGCCAGGTTCAAAGGCTGATGTTTCTAATTTGTTCATCCATTTATGTACAGCACAAAATAAACAAGGAAATAAATATAAGGTAAGTATATAACTATGCCTCTCATATGTCCTGTATTAGCATTTACCTATAGTATGATTTGGAAAGAGTGTGACTAATTTGTATCTTGACATTATGCAGGTTGGTGGAAACATTGAGGCTGTCTTCACAAAGTTTGTCTCCGAGGGGAAATTCACAATTCGTTTCAAAGAGCCTGCCCATGACCTGTGTGTAAAGGCTGATCCTGTTCTGGCAAAGACCTTTCTTCAGACATGTAAGTCACCAAGGCATTTGTTAGGTATCACAAGCTGAACCAAAATATTGCTAATTATGATAATATTTATATCTAAAAGCTATGTTTATTCTCGGCTTTTAATTAACGTAGTACATTAGGGATTGTGTATGAAATTCTCAGTGTCACTTTGTGTTTTTCTCCATTTGCCATTTTGCGAGATCTTGGAATAAGAGGCTGAACCACATGGTAGAGATAATGGAATATTCGTTAATTCTTTACAGTACAGACTGATAATGGTCTGTACTGTAAGTCCCCAAATTTATTTGACAATCTAAGTTCTCTGATTGGGCATGCCCTTTGGCACTGCCAGAGGGGAGGGTTAATAGGAGGCACTGCCCCCCAACACCCCCCAGGAAAGATTGTCTTCACCTCATATGCACTGCAAGCTAGAGCTGAAACTTGGGAAGACTAAGTGGACTTAGGCTGTGAGCGTCACTTTTCTTTATTTGTATGGTTATCATTCGTGTCTGCAGGCTACAGTTCTTTGTCCTCTACAAGAATACCACCTTCAATTTTCACTACCTTAGTGCATCCACACCATAAATACTAACCTAATATTCTAATAATTATTAGAGGCATATTTGTCACTGCATTTTTTTCATCAATAAAGTATTTTTTTTTCTTTTCCTTATAGCATTGTCTGTATTTATGTTTTTTCATGTCTTTATCAGTACTATTGTATTTTAATTCAGTAATTGTTTATTGTGATAAGGCTCTGATTTTTTATTGTCTTTTATTACTTAATATTTACATCATTTCCATTTTTTTTTTTTTTTTTCTGCAGTGAAACTAGGAATTCAAAACAAAGATATTGATAAGCTTCGCCTGTCTACTCTTGCACCTGTCAAGCAAAGTCAAGTGGAAAAACCCAAGACAAAATTGGTTATCACTTGTAAAAAAGATTATCCCATCACCACGGCCTTCCCTTACTCTTTGGAGACACTTAGGGTGAGAAGCGTGGTATAGTGATTGGGAACGAGTGTTTCTTCGTTCTCTATCTTCTTTTCCTTTTTTTTGCTTTTTGCTTCTCCTCCTCCTCCTCCTCCTCCTCTTTCTTTTCCTTTTCTTCAGTCTCTTTCTTTTCCTTTTCCTTTTCCTCCATCTCATTCTTTTCCTTCTCCTTCTCCTTCTCCTTCTTCTCCTCCTTCTCCTTCTCCCTTCTCCTTCTCTTCTCCTTCTCCTTCTCCTTCTCCTTCTCCTTCTCCTTCTCCGTCTCCGTCTCCGTCTCCGTCTCCGTCTCCGTCTCCGTCTCCGTC